GACCGAACCATGAACCTAGATAGTAGAATGTTGTAAGACAGTGGAATGTGGTAAACACCAGGTGCGTCTGATCACGACTAATCCCCAAATTCCTAGCTTGAGTTAACCAAACCCTTAGCTCAAGATAACATTGTTTACTTCAGACTATATAAGCTGTACATTCTTAAGTTACGATGGGTTCCTCAGCTCTGGCAAGAGTTCCAACTTGCGCGGAGCCCCAGCACAGGCTATTGCATCCCCAGGATCGGAACACTCTGGGGCCAGGGGAACCATGCGGGGTGGCAGCTGCTGCCTAAGGCCGATGTGAGGTGACCATCTTCTCTGCTCTGTTCTATTGCCTGACTCTGCGAGTATCCTTAAATAAAGCTTTGCAAGGGTGAAAACAACCGTGAGTACGTCCTTTGTTCAAGCGCGGGGAATCTTCTGAACTCAGTAGTTCATTCTACAAATAGCCCCTGGTCAAGAGAAGGGGAGAGACCTCCCTCCAATATGGCCAAACCTGGGACCAGTGAACATAGTAAAACCAGTCTCAGAAGCAGTTTTCAGGACGGGAGGCAGTTCAGCAGCATCAGAGGTGCCTGGGGGCAGGGGTATGCAAGGATTGGAGAGCCCCTCTGATCCTGCCAACCCCCCGATTGCCTCAACCTCCTTCCTGTGGACCCCACTAGTCCCCTAATTCCCCAAATCCCCTTGTGAACATCACTAGCCCCCCCATCCCCTCAATCCCCTCATAGACTCCATTAGCCCCCCTGACTCCTAACCCCCTGACCCCACTAGCCCTCTGACCCACTCCATCCCGCCCACTCCTCCACCTACCCCAGCTTACCTTAAATCAGGCTCCCAGGATGTATCTAACTACCAACTTAGATTGGGGGGCACATTTTTAACCTGAATTAACCCCCCAAACTTCTTGCTGTAGTGTCCCTACAAAGCCATGCCATACATTTCAATATAAGAATAGTGATCAGCCCTATCCTGAAACAGAATTACAACTATTTCTTGCTCACCCACGTAGTCCCACCAAGATAAAAAATTGTAAAGCTATTTATGTATCCACAGAGACATATAGGGCATGTCTTAAGTCCTCTGCCAAGAACTAAGCCCTAGCCCACAGACTGTGTCCCTGGAACTGAGGTGCTGAGGGTGCTCTGGGTGTTCAGAGCCAAACAGGTACTCTGGGTGTTCAGATGTACCAAAAATGCCTAGTGGGATTTTTAAGAGTGCCTAGAAACCCAAATCGCACTAGACACCTAAATAACAATCCATATTTGGCCTAAAGGGACTACCAACAGTAGTATCAATTAGTATCATGCCAACATAATACAAGCCCACATAATGCAATTTGTTGTGTGCATTACCATTGGCAATCTTTTTAGGAACCCATTAGCAAAATGGGGTCCATTTCCAGAAAGCGACCCTGCAAGCTGCTGAAGAAAGGTTCTCAAAATATACCTTTGAGATTGTTTATACCAGAGGGAACACTACATTGATCTCCATGCAGAATCCTCTCTCTCAATAGTTGGACTGGTTTTCATGATGTATTTTTTTTTAACTTAATAAATAATATCACATATACTGCAAGCAAATTAGTCTTTTAGAAGGGGTGAAAAGCTAGAGAAATACCCTACCAACTTCATTTAGAGCCAGCCTTTGCAGGGGGCAAAATCATCCAGTTTTTACAACTGTCTAATTTTAGTATCAGATCTTTGCAGTATTCCTCATTCCAACTCTGCAGGCAAAAATCCTACTTTATGAGATAAAAGACAATGCATTCCTGTAGACCAGTGGTGTCCAAACTTTTTGAATGTGGGGCCGGATCATGAACTTTTTAATCACCCAGTGGGCCGGCAAGCCATATTCATATTTTATCACCCCGTGGGCCGTATGTTGGACAAGCCTGAAATAAGGCAAGGCTGGCATAAACCCCTACCTGTGGTCAGCTAGTGACAAACTACAGCAAATGATGTCCTGGACCAGCCATCTCAACAGCTGGGGCCCCCCTTCTCCCTACTATGACCACCATTTGAAGGCAGCCCCAGAAGATATTTGACAGCCATGTTAAAATATGTGACCAAACCGATGTAGCCGGTACTGTCATGCAGGTCAAGGGGCCACCTATGTCACCGCTTCCCCAGGCCTTGCCCACACCAGCAACACCATTGCCAAAAGTCTTGGCAGCGCTCGGGCAGACATGGCTGGGGCCCAGCCAACATGCGAGACGGGGGACAGTGGAACTGCGGGAGCAAAGCTGGTTCCCAGCCTGGCAGGGTCTCAGGCCTGGTCTGCCCAGAGCAACTCCTGGTGGAAGAAGGCCGCAGGGGAACATGGGCCACTTTGCTCCTCCACGAAACCCTGCAGCAAAGGCAAATGGCCCCCAGGAGGGTACAGGCAGCCACTGCACCAGGAGAGCAGCACCTGATCCAGCTGTAGGGAGTGACAATCCTCCCTCCCCAACCAGGCCGCCCCAGAGCAGTGCAGCCCCATGAACCAAGAAGAGTAAAGCAGGGCTTTTCTGTAGTTGAAAACTAACCAGGATTTAAGGTAGGGTATGAATTTCAACTGCAATACCTCTTACTGTATAACTCCATGTGTAGATAGAATTATTCTGGAATATGAGTGCTTCCTTACTACCTAGTTTAATCTGCTTTCTGAATACAACATGCCATGTTATGATACTGCAATTAACCAAGAACAATTTTGAAGAGGTAGTTCTACATCATAGCACAGAAATAAAGGAACACAATAAAAATACCTGTATTTCTGCTTTAGAACTTCCAGTTCTAAAGTGGAGTCAGTGCTGTGTGTATCTGTGGTATTGTCTTCACAACCAAAGCAATACTGGAACACACTCTAAACATGAGGAAAAAGTATCAGACTGCAGTCTGAAAATATTAGTGATGAGCATAATATAAAACCCCAAGTGAATAGAGACATTTTAGAGAAGCTGCAATTTTCCATCCCATACTTAAGGTTGCAATGAGCTCTTCTTATAAGGCTATAATCTACTACCTTTATAGCTTTGGCTTGAAAAATGTGTTTGACCCAACACATGCTCAACTTTATTCTACCAGGGAAATAATTCATTTCTTCAATGTTTAAAAATATATTCTTTGTTACTGGTCATAACAAAACGTGCTGTTTTTCTATTTTACCTGTGGCTGCTTTGCTAGTCTTCCTAGTTTCCCATATAGTTTCCACATATCTTTGACAACTCATGAGCTAACTATATTTGAAAAAAAATAGTTTGCAATTAATCAGTTGTCTACTATTTTATTTTTTGTTATGGAAAACACGAGCAGCTACTTATGTCTGTGAAAGATTTTTGTTTTGTACTTCAGTGAGGGGAAATAATTAATCTGCTTTAGCAGATAATTGTGCACCCAGAAAAATCAATCAAAAAATTCCTATTGACCTCAAGAAGTGTACATAGACCTAAAAGCATGTCAGCACAAGTATTTGGTTTTTTGCAACCTGTAAAAAATTATACTCTGCAGTACATTAAAACTTACCATAAACCCACAGTATCTTGGCCTATTTGGATACACAGTGAGTGATTCCTGGTCTACCCGACTTAGGAACCAATATGGCAGCTTCTTCTCTAAGTTTGTGTGAAGATTGACCTAAACACATAAGCATATAGGGTACTAGTTAATAAAAAAATTCAAGTACAGTATAATACAATAATCTATGTACATAAAAATCCATTATTCTGATTACAGAAATTACTCTCTCATTATGCCCTCTTTATTATTACTGGGATCTCCACAATGCAAACTGTAGTGTAATGTCAAGATAACCAAGCTAGTTTTAAACGAGTGAGCTATCTAGAAACAGCATGGCCCTCCACACAGGCCAATTCACCTCACTTTTCAGGAGGACAAAATGCTTAATTACTTCATCTGACCCAGCTCATTTAAAGCTAGGTTGGGTATCACACACTGCAGTCTGCAATGTGGAGTTGGCTGGAGGCTGACACTTGTCACTGTTGTGGGAAATGAGACCAGTAAGCAGATAAACAGTAATTATTGGGTGCATCTACACATGCAATTAATGTGAAACAATCAAGTCTGCAGCAGTTTGAGCTGGAGCAAATTACTCCTGGGCCCAGCATCTACATGTGTGCCTTGGACAACAGGAATTTGAGCTGGGGCAGAACAGACCTGGGCTGGCAGAGGATGGGGGAGGGACAGTGCTGGGGAACAAAAGGTGCTGCAGAGTCATGTGGCTAGGCAGCATACAGGAGTCTGGCCCCGGCTAACTGGGCACAATTTATAGCTGCGGTCAATGTCTACACATGTTTGATAACAATAAATTACCCCGCATAAGATAATATTGTCCCTGGCAGTAGTATCTTACTGTGGCACTATTTAGTATACAGCGGCCTAATATCAACACGTGTAGATAGTAATGCTTTACTCCACAGCTAATTAGTCTACTCCCCAGTTAAGTGCATGTGTAGATGGCTTTGGCCCCAGCATGTGCCCAACATTGGTTTGTGAGAAGACCCCTGTAGAGTAGCTGAATATACCTTGCAGAAGGTCTAACCCAGGAAGAATTCTCCTTTGGCTTCACTATCTGTTTACTCTACAGTGGCAATGCACAAAAGCCAAACAGGGCAATGAATTCCTTTAATTTATTTTTAAACTTCTAAAGAAATATCAGACATGCACACCTAGTTCTTTAAAAAGAAATGATACAGTATAGATTCACTCTCTCAGTAACAGCATTGTTATGTCATGGTTTTGTAAAACTTGGAAAAGATTGTATTGTCCAGTAAGAATTTTATATATTCTGTTAGACCTCAAAATACAGTCTGTTTTTAATTCTCTGATTGCTAAACAAGTGCAAAGTATATGTGCCTTCTTCAAAAACTGCCTGTGCATTTCATCTTAAACTTTTGCTTTTAGTCATTTGTATCTCTAGCAAAATAAATTAAACGTCTCACTCCTTAAGGTGTTAAGCTCAAAGTGAAGACTTAAGTTTCAAAGAAGTCAGTTTAGTACATAATTTTCTGTTACATGAGCATAAAAAGAGCATAAAATTACTCATCATAAATTTGAGTTATTCAAGTATATTGTCTCTGTATAGTCCCATTTTTGGGATATCAACTTCAGCTCAGCAAAGCTTTTGGAATCTTCCCAAATGTGGTGTTAACAGAGGCCACAAGCACCTCCCTCCTCATAGCACTGATTTCCTGAATATCCAGAACAGAGACTGAAAAAGTGTTACACACTTTCAACCACCTCAGCTCCTTCTACCAATTCTACAGCCTTAGGGAAGCAGAAAGTCAAGACAGGGTGAGGATGCAAATCACCAACCTTTATTTCATATCTGACAACCACATATTGTGTGTATTTCCACTGTGGAAGTCAAGTGGGCACAGTTCTCCAACTGAGAATGGGGCTGCCTTGTGGACTTCCCCACCAAAGACTTTAAACCCCCGAGCTAAGCAGGTCCAGTGGGGTTACATAGGGGATGAAGGTCTCAGAGGCAGGAGCTGAAGGACTTCCCGCACTGGGGACTTTAAAACCAGTGCCCTGAAGCTCCAGTGGGGCTGCCAGGCATGGGGGAATCAGAAGCTCCCAGCAAGGGGAGCTGAAGTGCTTTCCCTATTGGTGACTTTAAACCCTGCACCTGGTGACTTGAAAGTCCCTGGTTGCCTTCAAATGGCCCCGTGGCTGACAATCAGCTGATTGTTGATCCCAGAGATTGAAAGCCTGGGGGACCTGTCCTATTTGCTAAGGAGTATACCCCATGCAATGGCTCCCATTCTGCACATATCAAAGACCAGAAAATTAGGCAATGCAGCTTCTTTAGTGTGGCACTGAATGCACACCTAGAATTCCTCTCAGGCTGTCTGCCTTGGACATGCCCTTCGATGTGCAGTCCAGGTCACTTTAACCCACATCTCCTACTTCCCAGCCTGAACTGCTAGCCAAAGAAGCAAGGCTGTGACAGGCACTCTCCAATATTCTTTTTTAAGTTTGTTTATTCTGTAGAAAGGAATGAAAGATTTGTAGAAAGACAGTCAAGCTAGAGCATAACTGTAGCCTCACTCTAACCTGAGAGTGAGAATCTAACCAGGGAGTGAAGCTCTAGCCCTGCTCCTGTTTATGTATTTTATCCAATCACTTTAATTCAAAACATAAGGAACCCCTAGCACAGGAACCAGCACCCAGACCTCTGCCCCCAAGGTAAGCACTCTTTTACTGGGGTACAGAGGCATGCTTCCTCTTACCCCAGGCCCCTTCTTCTGTCCTAGCCTGCCAGCTAGAAAAAACTGGAAATGGGAGATGTGGGTTTGAGCTATAGGTGCTGAGAAAAGTCTAGAACTCAGGTCTTCCACTTCCAGAGCAAATACTCTAAAATCTGAATGAATGCTACTGCTATGCATTGTACCAAATCTAAGGCCAGCCACATGCCTTCCAGATCAGCCCCCTAAGGGAACTTAGATGCACATATGTCTAACTGGTGAATCCCATGTGGTGTTGAATTTTGGCAGGTACCTCTGAGTGGTACAGAGGGAGAAGTGAGTGTTTACCGCCTCACTTAACTGCTGCAGTTGTGGCAGTGGTGGGAGCTACTCCTGTCTCACCACAAATTCCACAAACTGCTGCTGTGGTGGTGGCAGGTGTGCAGGTTCCCTGTAGACTGATGTTATGGCTCTAAACTGGCACCAAAGCTTGATGCCTCCCTCAGCTCTCCAAGTTCCACTAATGTTTAGGGGTGAAAGGGGTGCCAATATGCTCTGCAATGCCAGGATGGCAGAATCTCTGGGCATTCACTGTAGCAGAATTTTAGGCATCTATGTGAGTTTTCCAGAGAAAACAGTCAGAAGTGGTTATGTGGATCACTTGCATGGACTTAGACCTTTATATTCTGCAATTCAGGTTTTTTGCACTGAATCCCTATACCCCTATTTAACACTGGCTGGTATATAATGTGTCTCAAGACAGAGCCTGTGAGTGAGCCTCAAATATATGATCTCTCTGTATTGCATCTGCCATCTCTCAGATCTTCTTGTGCTGTCTGTCAGGTGAATAGATTTTGCCCTTAAAAAGCAAGATAATGTATTTCAAGTATTAGGGTTTTTTTGTTTGGCTACTGGCTAGTCACAGTTTCTTAAAAGTATTCATTTTTTACCTTTGATCCTATAAGGATTTTTATAGTGATATAAATGACTGCCAGCTAGGATTTAAGATGGAATGCCAATGTCAACCAAACTAGTTTATAGAGAAACATAAAGATAGGGTTACCTTAAGGATTAGGTGTGTGTGTATATATATATATATATAACTTGAACTGAAATTATATAACTTGAACCAAAAAGTAAAGACACGTTTAGAGGGCTTGAATATTAGTACTACAAAAACTCAGTAATTTCAAGGCTATGTTTAAACCTTTATTATTTGGTTCTCATACCCTATAGTGAATGAAACCACTAAGATACACTGCTAACCTGCATTGCGATCCTTTTGAGTGCAGCATATTTCTGCACCTCAGCAATGTCTCCAACAGCCAAGCCAATCTAAAAATACAACACAGAAGCAAAGAGCTTTTTTAGTTACCTAATTATTCATATTGGGTGGTTTAAATTATATTCCTCAGTGATATTTAATCACCCCAAAACCACTAACTAAATTATATTGTGATAACTAAACTCTAAAACAGAAAACACACGTTTTTGTGCACTTTGTTTTCATTTTTCTTAGCAAGCTATTTGGCTTTCATTAATAACTACTTTTAGCAACAGTTAAAAATGTACACCCTTTTTAAATTATATGGTGCTATTTCTATTAATATCAATAGTAAAACTTATATTTACTTCAATTATTGCAGGACCAGACCAGCACTATGCAACTTAAAAATCTTTAGAAAATTCACTTTGATACTGACCATGATCATATAGGAATGGTATTTCCTACAAACTTAGTTGTTTTAGGTCGATCCCTTATGTTTACATAAGTCCTACCATTTAGTCAATTGCCAGTGGATGTAAATGGTACAACTCCTTCTGATCTGCTTACACAATTTAATTTTTTTGAAAAAAGGGTTTAGTTGCCTGTGCCTCTAACAACATCTTGTTGTAAAACACTACAGGAAGAGCAAGGCTTTTGGGCCCTGCACTGGAATTGGTATAGAGCCTCATCAGTCCAGAAGGAATAGGAGGCGGTGATGAACAGAAGGTGCTCATGAACAGTGTCTTCTAGTCTTCTCAGTGCAAATAGGTAGGCAATATAATATGCTCCATCCATTAGGCTGGTACAAGTTCTCTCTCCCTGGTATGCCACAGGGAAAGAAGGAGAACAGGTACTCTGCACTCCACTGAGTACAGATACTAGCATTAAGGGATAGGTGCAGAAGAAGGCTTGGCTTCCTGCATCCCCACACCAGATACCCTGAAGTTACATAAAAGCAATGATAATCTGGCCCTAAAAATATACTCAACATGGACTCTGAAGTAACAACAATGCCAAAAACACTGGGTTTGGGTAGTAAAATAAAGGAAATAATAAGATAAGACAGAAGTGGAAAAACAATATCCCAATATCTCATTTGAAAAGTCACAACTGTTGCAAGTCAGCCAAAAAATAAATCTTGTGTGATAATTTTGCATATACACATCTATTCTCCCAGTCTCCTGATTTTTATGACTAAAATACTTACCAGCAAGTTCATAAGTAGAATTGGAATAAGCAGGGTAAAGATAATAAGAACTGTATAACTCAGGAAGGGATAAGGCAATTCACTACTTAGCAATGGACCAAGGAAAGCATCATGATAATTAATGTCTCCTAGCATCATAGCAAATGTCTTCATTACAGAAAGGAGTGGACTGCTATACGTTTTCTACAAAAAGAAACAGGAAAAGCAGTGAAAAAGAGGCAGCATGTTAAAATATGGAATGTAACTGCTCAATTCTAATTCTGCTCCTTTGGGATTATTTGCCACTTGCTTTTGAATTCAAGGTTGTCCCACTAGCGGTCTGCAGGCTTCATGTGGCCCAGAAGGGACTGTGTGGCCCACAAGCTCCCACCAGCTGCTGCTGCCTCTATCACTCCTGCTGCAGCAACAGTTGAGGTCTCAGGGCTTCCCCCTTCCCACCAACTCCAGCTTCTGCTGCATGCCCACATGGGCAGGGAGCAGGGTAGAGTGGCACAGCCCAAATGCCAGGGCAGTCAATGAGCCAGAGCTCCCATGTGATATTGTGCTGCAGGCGAGCTCACAGCCAGGGAACTGGTCAGGTGGGGTGCCATTCACAGGGTGTGTCTACACATGTATTTAAGCCATCTTGAATTTACTGTGGACTAAGTTACTGTGCAGTAAGAGGGAATAGGCGAGCATTGACACATGCAGGCATTAAAGTGCATTAATGCTGTGTGTGGACTGACCTGGGACTAAGGTAAGTCCCAAGTCAATCCACCAGTGTTACTGCATAGTAAGGCATCTACACATGCATTACTGTGCAGTAACTAATCCAGCATAAATTTGATACCTGCATGATACAAGTATCAAATTTATGTTCAAGTTGGTATAACTTGACATATTTACTGTGCAAAACAGGCACGCATGTGTAGACATTTGCCTGTACTACACAGTAATTTTGGTTACTGCACAGTAAATGTGCATGTGTAGATGTGCCTATAGTGTAGCTGGGAGAGAGAGAGAGAGAGAGAGAGAGAGAGAGAGAGAGAGAGAGAGAAAATGGAGATGGGAAGAAAAGTATGCTGTTGCTCTTTTTTGCAACAAGAGCACACAGTTGGCTCATATTCAGCTTATGATCTACTGTAACCTCCAGATCATTCTCTGCAGTACTGCAGCCTAGCCAGTCATTTCCTAGTCTGCATTTGTGAATGCAATTATTCCATTCCATATTCCATTCAATGTGCAGGACTTTATGTTTATCCTTGTTGAATCTCATCTGACTGATTGTGGACTATTTTTTCCAGGATATCCAGGTCATTCTGAATCCTACCCCTGCACTCCATAGTGTCTGCAACTCCACCCCACTCAGCATCATCTGCAAATTTGCTAAGCATACACTTGATCCCATTATCCAAATCATTAATGATGTTAAACAATACCAGACCCAGAATAGGCCCTGGTGAACCCCTCCGGATCTAAATTCCTTTAAAACTCTTGAGAAAGATTTGTGCAAGAAGGTTCCCCACTATGTAGGGATACTTTGGGGGCAATTATGCTTCTGTAGATGGGGAACTCCAGATTCTTTCATTTGAAAAATGAACAGCAGGCTTTAATATGGTTACTGAATAATTATAAAGGCATATTTTCAAGCATAAATTTTTCCCTACTTACATTATAAAATGTCCTAATTTTACTCAATTAAATTGCTTCATCAGTTCTATCTACCAAATAGTGTAAAACAGAAAAAGGACAAGGCTTTATAATTTCCAGTCACAAAAAACAACATAGGCATTAATTTTACCTGTGAACCCAAAAGAACAAAAAAGCTGAGTCCAAAGGCCAATATCAGGAAAAAGAATACAACAACAATCCGAATCAAAGTCCTCAGTATCTCCCAGAACATCACCACGTAGATTCCATAGTTTTCAAATCTAAGTAAGCATTTGAAAAAAAAAAAAATAACCATTATAAAACACTGCAATAGGCTACTTTTCCGATGTGTAAAACAGCATGCAGTATTAAATTTTGTACATTGTAGCAGATATTTTGCTTCTATGACAGCTTCTTAAATGGTCAGAACAGTACCTAATTCAGGTGCATGAAAATGGAAAAAGTCCAGTTTAGAACATGATGTACCATACTTTAACTGAAGGTTTAATAGACACTTCTTTCCCACCCACAATCACAAAAACCTCCCACACTGAAACAGATGCCTGGTAATCCTATGCTTCAGAGCTATTGCTGGTTGCATGCTGCTGCCAAAAGAAAATTCCTCCCTCTCCATCCCTCTACCCCTCCTGCAACTGAATTTATGATTTGGCTTCCAGGTTGTTTTGTTTGTTTGTTTAGTTGGTTGGTTTGTTTTTTCACACTTCTTTGAAGCAGTGGCCACTGACCACAGTTAGTGGTGGGAGTTGGACTGGAATACACATGTGCTTCTAATGACAGGTAGCTGGCTGGTAAGGACTGCTCATATGCTCAGCATCAAACTGATCACTTTTTGACATCACAAGGTCATATTGACAAAGACTTTTTTTCCTTGTCTCCATAGAGTGGGGTACAGTCTACTTCCTACAATTTTCTGAGCATATTTTAACCTAACGAATTTCCTGCCATTGGTCCATTCCAATTCCCGTCTCATAACATTTTTTTCATAGAGTGCTTTGTGTCTGTAATGCAAAAGGAATAGTGACAGCTAGACAATCAGCCAAGGAAAACCCTTCCCTTCCATAACAACTTGTTAGGAAAACAGGGCAGAGACAATTTTAGTTTGCCATTTAATCAGGGTTGGACACGGGCATGGGTGAACTGGGTGGCCACCCAGGGCCCAGACAGAAAGGGGGCCTGAAAATGGTAATTTTTTTCCCATTGTCTGATTATTATCATTATCTTTGGTGAAGGGCAGACCAATACTAAAAGTTTGCCTAGGGCTGTCAGGAGTCTAGTTACAGTACTGCAGTTAATTGAAAAATGGTAAACAAGGCTGCTTTCTCCTACCTATAACTACAAAGCTTTCCTTTTGTTAGGTGTAACTTTACTTCAGCAGGTCTTTTTAAAGTGTTCATATGCAAAAAGTACCTTTTTATTTATTTATTTTTTTAAGTGAGAGGCTAAACAATAACAAACACTTTAAAAAATATTATTTGCTAGCCACTGAAAAACTTAAGAAATATCATTTGGAGATTGGTATTTGATACATCTATTGATTTTTCACTTGGTATAATATACTATGAAATTTTGTTTATAAAAAAACCTGAACCCTACTTTAAAGTTTCTGAAATAGCAACAAAGACCTTAAAGTGCAAACTTATGTGTGTTTAACTCTATCCATGAAAACTATTGAATTAAATGGCTCCATTTGTAGTGTGTCTAGGATCAGAAATTAAATGTTACCTTTGAAGATAAAGCAAGAAGTTCATCCAAGATAAGTATACAGCAATTGCTCCACATTCCCACTGCAAGTGAACAGGGATGGTAGCAAATAGTGATGAAACAAAAATAATGCTCGTAGTATAAATTGTCCAGTCCAGCAGATTGGAGTAGTCCAATAAATACTTCAGTTTCTGGGATTTGAAAGAGAGCAAATTAGCATACTGACCAGTATTAAATTATTATAATAGTAAATTAGGTAATGTTTTTCTCATTGCTTCAAGTTTAAATCTCTTGGATATAAGAGTTAGGATTATATTTTAATAAGAGAATAATGAAGCCATATTTTAATATCAAATAATTTACCATGATTAATAATTGACAAACAAAGTACACACACACACTTCAACACACTTACTTGTTGAATGAGCTGAAATATTTCTTTGCATATTCCCAATAAACTCATGATTAATACTAAGCACATACATACTCTTATAAAGTATGATTCCTGCAACAGAAACACACAAAGGAAAACAAATAATTTGAAAATAATAAATGTAAGAGAATCTTGACTTAAGTTCTACTTAGCACAGTCACATTACATAGATAAGCTAAGCTTGCTTGCTAACAAGACATGGAACATTTTCCCTGACTTGGTTCATATGTATTATGGGTTCCAAGTCCTGTATCACCTTGCAAACAACTCTGAAGATTACAGTGAGAAAAAATGCAAAACAGCAGGTTCTCTAACAACTGAACCATGAAAGCATGTTCCTCTAGGGAAAGGGAGATAAATTGCACATATACTGGTATATGTTACTGGAAAGCGACTCAAATCTGTAACACAAAAGAAGTTCAGTACATGTAAATCACTTTCAAAGGGTGCAGACAGAAATGACATTTGTCATGCGATCAGCCCCTTGAAAGTGCTCTAAAGCTGTGCCTAAACAGCACAGCCCTCTGATTTCTGTCTGCTCCAGCTGCAAGACCAGCC